CATCGTGGAAAACAGAATCTGGATGAATACCAGAGTAGAGCACCATAAAAGGCTCCATAGTCTGGTTTCACGCTGTCCTTTCGAAAGACAGAGAGACTACCCGGTCTTCAGAAAGGTGGGGAGGAAAACAATCCAGCTTCAGCACCATGCCAAGAAAGATCATTCCAAATGGGTAGCCCTGTTAGACTGAAGCAGTCCAAGAAAGAGACTTCAAACTGGACTTAAAGATTCTCGCCCCCTACATCCCCCCCCCCCCCGGCGATACATCCGAACATTTCAAACAAAATCCTTTCGGAAAGGAGGACGACTCCACACACACACACAGGGATGAACTGCGTGTTCAGACGCGGACCTACTGAAGGAGCGGGAGGAGGAGGTGGCGGGGGGGCAACAGGCAAAGAAAGAAAACCGAATTGGACGGCTACGAAGAGGAAAAGAAGACAAACGTAAACGGAAGATACGCAATTGCGGGTGGAAGGAAACCAGGTAGCGAGGACCCCCTCCCCCCGGGCACTTCTGTGAGAGGCGTTGGGCCCCGAAGTGAGGGAGGGAGGAAGGAAGGAAAGTGGAGGGGTCGCGCAGGCCGAGGCCACTTACTGGCTGAGGGAGTCGGGGGAGGCGACGCCCCAGCGACTCCTGCGGCGGCGGCTGCTCCATCCCCCGTCTCCCAGCGCCGCCGCCGCCGCCGCCGCCGCCGCCGCCAACTCTCCTCCTGCCGCCGCCTCACGGCAAAGACGACGCCGCGTTATTGCGCAAGCGGAGGGAGGGGGAAAGAGGAGGTCGCGCGAGCCGCACATACACAAAGTGACGTCACGGCGAGCCACTTCTCCGCGTGCGGGGAGGAGGAGCAAGGAACCGTTGGAGGGGCTGGTTCCACCCTCTTCCCCTCCTGACATTGGAGGAGGGGAAAGAAGGGGGGTGGGGCTCCGGGCAACAAGGAAAGAGGCGGGGTTTCGTCCTTGCTTCCTGCGTGGAGATTCTGGTGCCCTGATTCCAAGCGAAATGCGCTTCCTCTTTCCCACGGTTACCATGGAATCGTCGCACGCTTGGCTGCGTGCCAGGAACACGTGTTCCTCTGAGTGGGGCGGGGAGGGGAGGAAGGCGATTCTCTCTTGCCTTTCATGTCGGCTTTCTTCCCGCTCGTGGTGCTTTTATGTTTGTCAGTTCCCTGATAGAATCGAAGTGGGTCGCCGAGGTGTTCTGAAGCAATAGAACAAAGTTACAGTCCAGTGGCACCTTTCAGACCAACAAAGTTTTATTAAAGGTGTGAGCTTTCGTGTGCATGCACACTTCGTCAGATGATAAAATGGAATTACATATCATAGTTGTACATATAGGAGTGGTTTGTTAAATTAGCATGCAAAATAGTGAGGACCAGGCCTCAGTTCCTGCCCCAGCAGCGCACCGGAGCACTGCTCTGCCAGTCAGGAACCCAGGGGGCAGGCACATAAGCCCCGCCCCCTGCTCCCACCAGCCATCAGTTGGGACATGGTGTGTGTGTGGGGGGACGTTCCCCACCACCCTGAGCCCCGGGGTGGTGGCCTTGGACTCGTAGGGGCAAATTCCACCTCTCACACAAGAGGTCATTCTGGCTCTCCCAGCTCTCCTTCGGGGCCCCTTAAAAAGTTATGGCCGCAGCCGCTGTTCTCTGCGACAGCTGCAACGCCCACGCGGGGGCAGGGCGAAACGTTCTCCGGCCTCCCTGAGCCCCGGGGTGGTGGCCTTGGACTCGAAGGGGCAAATTCCACCTCTCGCGTATGATGCCGCTCGGACGCGAGAGGTCATTCTGGTTCCCCCAGCTCTTAGGAGGGGCTCTTTAAAAAGTTATGGCCGCCCCGCTGTTCTCGTAGCGTCATGTCCTGGCAACAGCTGGTGCAACGTGTCTCGCCGTTCCCGCGTGCCGGATTCTGCAAAGACACACGATCCCCCGCTGCGACTTGGCAACCCTACCACAGCCCTCCCTTCCCAGGCCTCCTGCCTGCACTCACTCTGAGCCAAGTGAGGGATCTTTCTCCTCAGACCAGACTGTCCCCTCTGTGAGACAAGACCACAGAAGAGCAAAAGAACACAGTCCCCTTCAGTTCAGCTCTGTGAGAGGAAAGAACACCATTTTCCACAGCCCACAAAGTATATAACAATCATCTCAGAAATCCCTGGACACTGATTGGCTACAACCGTTGCTAAGCCTTATGGGGATTGTAGGCTGTGTGCGCTTTCCACTGCCATGCAGGTCTCTCCTGGGACCAGGCCGCACTAGGCCTTGCTCCCAGTCCTACACAGATCATTACAACCCTGTAAGCCAAAAAACTGCATGTGGAAGGAAACAGCCTTGGGTGTCCTCTTCTAAACCTTGGCCAGTTCTGTAATAATATTTTTTTCAGATACAGTGACCAGAACTGTACACAATATTCCAAACAGGGGTCGCATTATAGTTCTATACCACCTTGGCTACACCCTATGGCTTGCAGGGAGCCAGGTTAAACTTTTTAATCCAGACTCAGAATGTAACCTTTTTTTTTCAAAACTGAAAAGTCCCAGTATACCTTTTGCATGATGCCATTCAATCTGCTAAAGTCAATAATTGTGCTTCTATTGTGCCTGAATTTGATTTCAGATGTCACCTCCATCATGGTATAGGCAAGATACCTCATCTGGTACAGGAAAATATGCATCTAGGACAATGACAGACAACAAGCCTGTGGAACCTTGGCATCAGTTTAGATCATGGATCAGTGGCCCTACCTATAGAGAGAGCTTATAGATTGCAGAGAAATTAACTGTGTTCCAAATATTCAGGTTTTTCCTCCATCAACGAAGCTATTCCCCCTTCCATTATGTCTATTGATTGTATTTTGCACCTAGACTCAATATAAGGTTATCTCCAATAAGGTAAAGGTTCCCTTGCTCGAAAGCCAGTCGAATCCGACTCTAGGGTTGCGGTGCTCATCTCCGTTTCAAAGCCGAAGAGCCAGCGCTGTCCGAAGACATTTCCGTGGTCATATGGCCAGCATGACTAAACACCAAGGTGCACGGAACGCTGTTTCCTTCCTACTGAAGTGGTACCTATTTATCTACTTGCAATTTCTTGCTTTCGAACTGCTAGGTTGGCAGGAGCTGGAACTAGAGATGGGAGCTCACTTCGTCATGCGGCACACTCGGGTCTCGAACTGCTGAACTATCGACTTTCCACAGCCTGCAGTTCAGCGTCTTAACCACTTGAGCCACCACAGTTCCAATTAGTGAGCATCAATTCACCAAACCTTGAAAGTAATAGAGACGGAATCATATTTAATGTCCCACTTGGCATCACTGTATAGATGAAAAAATCTGCAAAGGTAAGGGCAACCTGGGATACGGTAAATATTTCTACACCCCTCCCCCCCCCCAAAAAAAGAATCCCCAGGTTTGTAGAAGATTCTGGGGGGAAATAAGTTGCACAGCCATTGACATCTCTCTGTAAATGTCATGCAAAAACCCAGCTTACATCTTGGGTTGCCTAGCAACCCAATATTGCTGCCAAAAAAGCTTTTCTTAAAACATAGGCATTGGCGGGGGGGGGGGGCAATTGGGTGCATTGGGGCACAGACAAAATCAGAGGATTGAATGCATGTTCTTGTAAGAGTGATTAACACATGGAATTCACTGCCACAGGAGGTGGTGGCGGCTACAAGCATGGACAGCTTCAAGAGGGAATTAGATAAGCATATGGAGCAGAGGTCCATCAGTGGCTATTAGCCACAAGGTATAGATAGGAACTCTCAGTCTGGGGAAAGTGATGCTCTGTATTCTTGGTGCTTGGGTAAAAAAAGTGGTTAAAAAAAAAAGTAATGGCTTCTTTCAGTTGCTAGGGAAAGTGAGAGGGTGAGAGCTGCTTTCTTGAAGCTCCCTGTTGATAACATCTGTTCCTTCCTCCCCTTCACAGTATGGTCCGAAACATAAAAGGAAGGAAGACGTGTAGGTGTCTCTGAAGGGAGGAGAAAACACCACACTGTTGTGTTACTTCAAACTGCTCAAATATTTTATGTCTCCTGTTGCAAAGTCTGTGTATTAAACTTGACCAGGTACTGGAAGTCAGAGATATTAGACAATTACACAATACGTAATTGTAGAAAAGAGCAAGAGTCCAGCAGCACTTTAAAAACTAACATAATATGTGGCAGGCCAGGGTATGAGCTTTCGTGAGTCACTGCTCACTTCTTTAGATCCTGCCCTGCCACAAATCTTGTTAGTCTGTAAGGTGCTACTGGACTCTTGCTCTTTTCTACTGCTACAGACAAACACAGCTACCCATCTTGGAATATGTAATTACACAATATTTGTTTCTAGGTAATACTCCCACACACACACACAACAGTGTTATGTACTGACAACATAACATGAATGTTAGTCTGTAAGGTGCTACTGGACTCTTGCTCTTTTCTACTGCTACAGACAAACACAGCTACCCATCTTGGAATATGTAATTACACAATATTTGTTTCTAGGTAATACTCCCACACACACACACAAAAGTGTTATGTACTGACAACATAACATGAATCGCTCAATACACTTCCCATGTTAAGCTTCGAGCCGGCCAAGGCTCCGACAGTACGAACAATCTATTGGTCGCTTCAAAACAGCGACCAATCACAGAAGAGCTGTTCCCTGAGCGGGAAGGACACTGATTCGCCTTTATCTATGCAATCTGATTGGTTGTTATGTAAATAGTAGGCGTGGCTATATTAGCCCGGTATGTTTAAAAGGAGCCCAGCTCCAATGTTAAGTTGTTCTGATTCCTGAATGCGTTTATGTGCTTGTTCGAATAAAGCTGAATCACTAGTTGAAATCACTCTACGGGTCTTTGTTAGCGCGATCTAACAATTGGCGACGAGGATGGGATATTAGAGCAGGTAGGCAGTCCTGCAGACATTCCCACACAGACCCAGAACGAAGGCGAGCAAAGCACAGCAGCCGATCTAGCGGAGGCGCCACCAGACCCGGTGCCCAAGTCTCCCCCGATGGCTGGGAATCAGAAGTTCGAGGCATTCGAACCATCGTCCGAAGATTGGGACTCTTACCTCGCCAGGTTCGAGTTCCATTTGGAGACACACGACATCACCGAGGAGACAAAGAAACGAGCATGCCTCCTGAGTTCGTGTGGAAAGGACACCTTCGACATTGCGAGGTCGTTGGTGGCCCCGACCGAGGTGAAGACCGTCTCCTTTGCGGACATCACAAAGAAACTGAAGGCTCACTTCTCACCGCAGCCTTCAGAAATTGCCTGCAGGCATGCCTTCTACAAAAGGAACCAAGCGGCAAATGAGACCATCGCAGACTTTGTGGCGGCCCTTCGAAAGGCAGCGAGGCCGTGCAATGTTGCGGATGTGGAAATCGCCCTCCGAGACCGATTGGTATGCGGCCTTCGGGACGAGCGCCTACAGCAGCGGCTATTCGCCAAACCAACGCTAACCTGGGCTGTGGCATACGAAGAGGCGGTTGCGGCAGAGGCGGCCGACAGGTCCACCAAAGAGGTTCGGCAGCGCCAGGCGACGACAGAACAGCACGTCCACTCCCAGTGCAATGAGGAAGAGGGCGTTGATGCGCTTGAGGATGTCAACGCGGTTAAGGGCAAGCGGACCCAAATGAAGACTGCTCCTAGCAAAACCTGCTCCGGTTGTGGTGGGAAGCATCAACGTGACGCCTGTTGGGCGCGAGACCTTGAATGCAGAGCGTGCGGACGGCGTGGGCACATTGCAAGGGTCTGCAGAGCGGCAAAGAAGAATCCAGTTTCCAAACCCAGTGAGAGACGACGTTCCCCGGCAAGAGAAGCATACAGCCAAGTGACAGCCACGCGGCCAAGCGCACCAGTTGTCAACCGCACCAGCTGTCCTGGTAAAATCGTTATCACAGTACTCCTAGACGGCCGCCCCTGCTCCTTCGAGATCGACTCAGGATCATCGGTTACCATCGTTTCAGCGGAGACGTGGCAGAAGCTGTTTCCGGACCGAAGCAAGCGGCGGCTGCAGCATGCGGACATGCGAGTGTCTGATTTCCAGGGCAGGAGGATTCCGTTGGTCGGCAGAGACACTGTGAACGTTGAGTATGAGGGGAAATGTAAAAAATTGTCGTTCTTAGTTACTGAAGGGGACTGGGTTAACTTGCTGGGGCTGGATTGGTTTAGCCCTCTGGGTATCGGAATCTATGGGGTAAATAAGCTGTCTGAGAATAAATGGAGTATGCTTTACGAGAGGTTCCCTGCAGTGTTTGGGGATGGGTTGGGGAGGTATAACGGGCCCCCCATCTCATTTGAACTAGACCCAAATGTGGCGCCCATAAGGCTTAAATACAGAAAGGTACCAATACCTATTCGGCCACGGGTAGAGAAGGAGCTGGACAAGCTCATAGCACAAGGGGTTCTTGAGCCAGTACCGCACAGCCGATGGGAGACCCCCATAGTGACGCCAGTGAAGCCGGACGGGTCTATTAGAATATGTGCCGATTACAAGTGCACTATTAACAAGGCGCTTCAGCAGCATTCATATCCAGTACCAGTGATCAGCCACGTCTTGGCTTCGTTAGGGGGTGGTAAACTTTTTGCTAAATTAGACTTGGCCCAGGCCTATCAGCAACTGCCTGTCACTCCGGAAGCGGCTGAGGCACAGACCATAGTGACTCATAGGGGGGCATTTAAAGTTAACAGACTCCAATTCGGAGTAAACGTGGCCCCTGGGTTGTTTCAAAGTCTAATGGAACGTCTACTTAGGGGGGTTCCGGGCACAGTGCCCTATTTTGACGACGTCTTGATAGCCGGGAAATCCGAACAAGAGCTACTGGACCGAGTCACAGAGGTCCTAACACGTTTTCAAAATGTTGGGTTAAAGGTTAAACGTTCCAAATGCACCATGGGCGTTGAAAGTGTGGAGTTTCTGGGTTTCCGCATAGACGCGGAAGGGGTTCACCCCACAAGTGAGAAAATTGAGGCCATTAAAAATGCACCCAAGCCTGAAAACAAAAAAGATTTGCAAGCGTTCCTTGGTTTGCTAAATTTTTATCACGCGTTTTTGCCGCACAAGGCATCAGTGGCAGCACCCTTGCACGCACTTTTGCACAAAGAGGCGAAATGGACATGGGGGCCAGCCGAAAAAAGGGCTTTTGATGGAGTTAAGGCATTATTAACATCCGACGCCGTTTTGACTCATTATGATGAGCAAAAGCTCCTGATTTTGGCTGCTGACGCCTCGCCTTTTGGAATAGGCGCCGTTTTGAGCCATCTGATGCCAAATGGAAGCGAGGCGCCTATCGCTTTCTATTCACGGTCTCTATCTGAGGCGGAGCGGAACTATGCCCAGATTGACAAGGAAGGTCTGGCTTTGGTAGCGGCTGTCAAAAAGTTCCACGATTTTGTTTTTGGCAGGAAATTTGTGTTGGTCACAGACCACAAGCCGCTACTGGGGATTTTTGCGCCCGATAAGCAGTTGCCAAACATCATGTCCCCTAGGATGCTTAGGTGGGCGCTGTTTTTGCAGGCTTACGACTTTGATCTGGAACACCGGCCGGGTAAGGCTATAGGGCATGCTGACGCACTCAGCCGCTGTCCCTTACCTAACCAAGGAACGGACCCTGCCCCGGTATGTGAAGTCTTGGCCATTGACGAACTTCCCCAAGCCCCAGTCTCATCTAAGGACGTGGCCGCACACACTGCTAGGGACGCCGTTCTGTCCCGTGTACTTAACTGGGTGTGGAGGGGGTGGCCAATGGGCAGCATGGAACACGAGTTCCAACCGTACAAAACCCGCCAAAATGAATTGTCCATATCAAAGGGCTGTGTACTATGGGGAAACAGGGTGGTGGTTCCAGACACACTCAGGCAGCAGGTGTTACAATCCTTACACGAAGGGCACCCTGGTATAGTACAAATGAAGGCCCTGGCGAGAGGGTATGTCTGGTGGCCTAAGATGGACGCGGCCATTGAAGAGTGGGTACAAGTTTGCAACCAGTGTCAGCAAAGCAGGCCAGACCCCCCAACAGCCCCACCACAGAAATGGGAATCCACGGGTAAGCCATGGTCAAGGCTTCACATAGATTTTGCTGGCCCAGTACAAGGGCAAATGTTCCTTATAATTGTGGATGCATGGTCCAAATGGCTTGAGGTGGTGCACATGCGCTCAACCACGTCTACCGCTGTTGTACAGGCATTGCGCCGGTTGTTCGCAACCCATGGGTTGCCGGACACACTGGTCAGCGACAATGGCCCTCAGTTTGTGTCCGAGGAGTTTAGACAATTCCTCACAAACAATGGTATCCGGCAAATGACTGCAGCCCCGTTCCACCCAGCTTCGAATGGTCAGGCCGAACGGATGGTCCGCACGGCCAAAGAAGCCCTGGGACGATTGACAGAAGGGGATTGGAGTGTGAGGCTGGGGGCGTTCCTATTGCGCCAGCACACCACCCCATGTAGCACAACAGGTCGTAGCCCGGCCGAGCTACTGATGGGCAGGCGGCTAACCACCTGCTTAAACCGCCTTCACCCAGATTTAAATGAACAGCAAGAGGGGCGTACATCTCCTCAAACGAATGTGCGCATGTTTAGGGAAGGGGACAAGGTTTTTGCCCGTAATTACGCCAGCGGACACTTATGGGTCCCCGGAAAAATCTGTGGTTGTATAGGCTCTAGGATGTATACAGTGCTGTTGAATGATGGCAGAAGGTGGCGGCGCCACGTGGACCAATTACGAAAGCGTTGGGCCAAGGACAGCGCTGACTCTCCGGCTGGGTCCTCAGAATTAGTTATTCAACCTCCCGCAATGGAGGAAAACGAGGAGTTGGCAGGTATTACGGGGCAATTCCCTGAGTCTGAAACAACAGACCCGGCCGTACAAGCGCCTGATTCAGGGTCTGTGGAGCCACAGTTGGAAGCCCCGCCAACTGAACCTATTGTACTTAGAAGGTCACAGCGTACACACAGACCTCCTGCATACTTGGCTGACTATGAGTGCAGCAATCTGTTTGAGTCTGCCTGACCGGCATCGGATATATGTTTGAATGTAAATATGACTGTAAATGCGTGTCTTAACTTAGGGGGGAGGAATTGTTATGTACTGACAACATAACATGAATCGCTCAATACGCTTCCCATGTTAAGCTTCGAGCCGGCCAAGGCTCCGACAGTACGAACAATCTATTGGTCGCTTCAAAACAGCGACCAATCACAGAAGAGCTGTTCCCTGAGCGGGAAGGACACTGATTCGCCTTTATCTATGCAATCTGATTGGTTGTTATGTAAATAGTAGGCGTGGCTATATTAGCCCGGTATGTTTAAAAGGAGCCCAGCTCCAATGTTAAGTTGTTCTGATTCCTGAATGCGTTTATGTGCTTGTTCGAATAAAGCTGAATCACTAGTTGAAATCACTCTACGGGTCTTTGTTAGCGCGATCTAACAAAAAGAATCCAGAGAGATACATCATAATCTTGTGATGCTTATTTACTGTGACTGGCCCCAGTATTTTTTTAGAAGGTTGCACCCCTCTGAATGGAAGCTGAACTGATATAGGGGAATGAGTGCCCTTGTTCTGTTTGGCTCATATAATTAGCCCATCAGCAGTGGCAATGGAGGGATTGTGCTATTTTAAAGTCAAAAACATTTTTCTTTCAAATACTGGCTTGCTCATGTTTTCATGTAGATCACATTTCCAAGTTCACTTTATTACTTTTTTCTACAATAAATACACAGTATAGAAAACATTTAAGTTATTTCACCAGGAGTCACTACTTTTCAAACAAATAAACCCTGCTCTGACCAAGGTTATTATTAATTTTTTGCTTATTATGGCCCCACCCCTGCTCGCTCCATTTGCCATCACCACAGCTTGCAGCACTTGCAGTATTTAACAGTAGCTTGAATACTGGATGAGCAATTCTGCCTCCTGCCAAAAGAGCTGAAGGAATACCTGATGTAGCAACAGCAAAAGCAATCATACTTTTTTCTTTTTTGCAAACTGTAGGCAAAATTATCCTTTTCTCCTTTTTATCCTGACATCAACCTTGTAAGGTAGGTCTGGCTGAGAGTATATGATTGGCCCAAGGTCAACCAGCAACCTTCTATGGCAGGCTGATGATTTGAACCTGGGTTTTCTTTATCCTAGCCTGATTCTAACCTCTATACCACTCTGGTTCTGATAGCTCAGGAAAGTTCTTATTCCCTGCTTTGTTTTGTAAAGGAGAGGATATCTTTCATCTTTCCTGTATGTGCTCCCTTCACCTTCCTGGCTTCTTATAAGTAAACCTTGGCTTCCATTGCAAATAGCATAGGGATGCTCTGGAGCTAATTTGAGCCAGGATGTTCCAGTTCCTTCCATTTTTGGCACTACAAATTTCATGATCGTTCTGAAGTTAGAGACCAATTTTCAAACACCTAACTTTTTTTTCCTGATCAGTTAGGCCTGCTCAAAACAGTGAACATTAGCTTCCATTACAAATTGCTGGGGGGGGCGGGGTGGACACAGGACTGCCGACAGGGGGTATTGAGAGGACAAAATTGGGGGGGGGGGGCAGGTCAGCTGGAGGGCCCCTGAAGCCAGGGATCATGCTATATCCACAGACTGCATTAAAAATAAACACTTGCATCTTAGATCCTGCTAAACCTCATCAGCCCTGCCAGGATTGGAGCGAGGCAAGACATGCCAGAACAAGGTACAGTCAATGCCAGGATCCACCCAGCTCCTGCACAGCCAGATCTTTCAAAGGGGCAGCTCTGGTAATATGTGGTAGCATTTTTTAAAAAAACAAACTTTTTATTGTTTTTTCCTACATTTATCTCTTTTCTACACTTTTATCTTTCTTTGTTTTGCTCATTTCCTTTCATTATCTACCTTTCTTCTATCCCCCCCCCTCTAAGTCCCCACCATCACTTTCCAGTCTCAACTGATTCTCATCTATCCTGGTTAGCAACTTAAAACATATTTAATAGTAGTATAGCAGCAAACCTTAGTTAATATTGTGAACAAAAAGGGGAAGTTGAGATTTCCCTATAATCTATCAAAGTAGGAAAAGGATGCTCTCCCCGCCCTTTGCATGCACGATAATAAATATTAATCTGCTTCAATGGTAACAAATGCAAAACAGAATTTAGAACTTATTTATCTTTTATATTCACCCTTTTTCTCCAATGGGGACCCAAAGTGGCTTGCACCATCATTCTCTCTTCCTCCATTTCACCCTTCACAACAGCCCTGTGAGGTAGGTTAGGCTGCAAGTATCTGACGGGCCCAAGGTCACCCAGAGAGCTTCCGTGACAGGGTGGGGATTCAAACCTGGGTTTCCCACATCCTAGTCTGACAGTTTAACTACTACACCAAGTTTAGCTTCCATTGCAAATAGAAGAGAAGAAGAAGAAGAGGAGATTGGATTTATACCCGCCCTTCACTTGGAGTCTCAGAGCAGCTTACAATTGCCTTTTCCCTTCCCCTCCCCACAACAGACACCCTGTGAGGTAGGTGGGGTTGAGAGAGCTCTGAGAGAACTGCTCTTTCAAGAACAGCTCTTATCAGAGCTACAGCTTGCCCAAGATCATCTAGCCAGGTGCAAGTGGAGGAGTGGGGAATCAAACCCGGTTCTCCCAGATTAGAGTCTGCACACTTAACCACTACACCAAACCGGGGAACCAAACCGGGGGGGGGGGTAACCTGGGCCAGGATATTCTGATTCCTTTCAGTTTTAGCTGTGGAACTCCCGTGATCATCCTGAAGCTGGTGGTCAATTCTGAGATTCCTAGTTTTATTTTCTGATGAGATATGCCTGCCACAAATGGACAGACATGGCCATGCAGATCCTTTTATAATTATAGGCGCGTGGTAACAGCCAGCCTTGTGATTTGTTATGATATTTGGTTTGGATAGGATCTTATGGGGGTGTGTCGATGGAATCTTTGTCCAGGGACCCATGGCGGCTCTCAGTGGTCAGGTCTAGAGATAACCATGGTCTGGATAGGGTTGCCCACACCCAGGTCCCAGCAGGGGTTTCCCCACTTTTGGGGGCTCCACTCCACCACTGGCCAGTGGGGGAAACCCCCACCCCCAAACAGGGATGTCACCATGCAACCTCCCCATCACAATGATGTCACCCAGAAGTGACATCATCGTTTCACTGAAGTTGGGGGTGACACTCTAGTTTTTGGGCAAACTCTATGGTTTTGAAGGCCCAAAAATTAAAGTGTCACCCTGTACAGGTATTAGCCCACCCAGGCCAGTCCAGGGATTGGAGGGAATCCTGTACTTTTTCAGTACATTAAACAACAAGCCACGAGATGGTCTATATCCTCTCTGGTTTCCAGAACAATATGCCACCAGAACCTCTTTTTCAATAGTCCCTGCCTTTCCTAAGGGAGAGATTCCAAACCCTTAGTTGGCATCTGGGACAGAACACATTAGCAACTCACTCCAGAGATGCACACTTTTACTCTCCAATAGTAGTGTATATGGTGAGCGTTTAGGCCACAAGATTTAGGCTTGGAATGCAAGTTACAACATCAGAGACACATTAGAAATAAGAATAATTTTTATTCAGTACAGAGCATAGCAACAGACTATAAAAGATTACCAACATAACAAAGGCTAGGGAAATTTGCCTTAACTACACATTAAAGATTCATAGTTACCAAGATCAGGATAGCATCCAAGAGTTCAAGATTGTCCATGGTGATAATCCAGGTAGCACCAAGGGATTTTGAGTAGGAATCCCATCTCTGCACACCATGTGCTCCAAGTCACAAAGCAACTCTTTGTCTCTCAAGAGGCAGCACTTCCAGGTGCAATAAACAGACAATGACAAGAAGGGAGAGCTAAGAGCAGAGCAAGAGCAAGAAAGAGCTCATTCCCATAGGAATCACAATTATACCCCAATTACATTCATGATCAGCTGTGGCCATCAGCCAATCACGAGCGGACAGGGGATGTGCCCAATTGTTGGTTGTCATAGCGGCGTGTGCGGATAGGCTAGAGGTTTGGAGACCACGCCTGCAGTCACACAGGTGACCCAGCTTCCAGCTTCTCCATGATGTACGTGACATGGCCCTTGTAGCCTTAAAGCAGGCGCCTTGAAGTCTGGCTCTTCCACTTAGAGGTGTTAAAGAATGTGTGGTTATATGGCATGGCTATTGAGGTTATATGGCCTGCCCTGGACCATTTGACCTGCAACAGGAAACAGAGACACAGAATGTCATCACAGGAGAAGGCATGAGACTTTTAGAAATCAATATTTCTATACACGCCCCGATGTCAGTGATGTGATCAGGGGTCATTTTGTAGAAAAAGAGGTGCAGGAGCTCATTACCATAACATTAGCATAACTTATTTGCATATGCCACACCCCCGGACATCACCGGAAGTGTGTCAGAAGGCAACACCCACCGCTCAGGCTCCACTAGACTGTTTTGGATTCCTAGCTATTGGGGGGGGGACGTGCAGATCTGTCCTCACAGAGGAGGAAGAGCTTGTACCTGAATAAAACTTGGTCTTAAAGGTGCCACTGGACTGTTTTAGACCGGGGGGCTGGGGGGGCTCTGAAACTTACCTGGCTGCTTCTTGCTCTGACTGAGGACTGAGGACTGCTGTGAGCAGGGGGTGGGACTTGTTGCATGTGCCCGCCCCCTGGGCTCTTTACTGCCAAAGCTCCACTCCTGTGCGCTCCTGCAGGAAATGACCCCTCGATGTGATGATGTCATCTCCTGGTGACATCACTGTGTTGGGAATGTTGCGCACATGGCAGAAGATCCCATGAAGGACCCAGGAGCCCCCCACTGGATGCAAGGTAGGACCTGGCACCCCTAGGTCAAGGTGTCCCAGTTGCCTTCATTTTTGGCACTGCAACTCCCACAATCATCCTGAAACTGGTGGCCAATTTTTTGAGGCTCATGAGCTTTATTTTCTAACTAGGGAGCAAATCCCATTGTGGAGGAAGATAATGGGTTCTAGAAAGGTAGGTAGGTAGGTAGGTAGGTAGGTCTTTCCCCCTTCACGATACCCCA